CAGCGCTTTTGCATCAATATTCAACAAAAAAAACATTTGTCCAGAAATTGTCCTGATATATAGACTTTGACCATTATTTAATTTTAGTGACTTTATCTGAAATTATAGATAAAATGTCTTTAATGTCTGATTGATCGATTTTTGACTACACTGGCAGATAAACTTATTGAATCTGTTTAGCTTAAACCGAAATACTAAATAGTTTAATTAGTTTAAATTGAAAATGGGAATACTAACTAATCTAAGTCATATCTCTCTAGCAAAATTTAGAACATTCAAGTAAACAAAAGGTGATTCTAAGTGAGAGTGTTAATGATTGTTTAAACCCGCCCCTCTCAAACCTAATCTAAATAAATAATTATTTATGTAGAATCAATTATTTAATAAAAGTGAATATATAATAATATCACCTTTAATTCTCTTTATTTTAACATTTTTTAATAAAAAAAATCTTTGTAGTGCAGTTAAAGCTCTATTGAGCGAATATCGACTAGACCATTAATACTGACCGGTTAAAAGACCGGTCTTAAAAATTTAGACTTCCACGGTTGAGAGAGATATCCGTCTATTAGAGTATTCCGTTAGCAGCTCTTTGCATTAATAACTTTATTTTAAGAAATAGCATCCATTTCTAATCAAAACTATTAAAGGCAAATATAACAACTATTTAAAAACTATATTTTAATAAATAAAAAATATAAATACTACAGCAAAAATTTAATAATAACTAAATTAAAATTCTTGGTTAATTTTACACGTTTTTTAGTTAAAGAATTGATGTGTTGAGTTTAATAGATTCAAATTTTTAAGCCTGACAATACCATTCCATAAACTATATATAGACTTTTAAAACGAACAAATGTTTCCGACAACCACTGTTGATGATTATATTTGGAAGAGCTGAGCCGATTAGTCAAATAACTTAACTAATTAAAGAAAATACTTTCTGTTCTTAATTTTTTACTCTATTTGCTTTTAACTATTTAAAAAATAATATATTTTTATATGTTAATTTTTTTTTCCCGCATCTTTATGACGAAAAGAAACTGTTTAAAAGTTAGATGGATTCGAATAGCAAGGAAAAGGCAATAACAAAAATTTAGTTAAATTATTGAAATCTATTTGCCTATACAACGCTTTTCCGAATGTTCCCAAATATTTATAATCAGTGGTTTTAGAAAATAATTATTTTTTTTTAAATTAGTTTGTAATCCTCATATAAATTGTTTGAACTACAAGTGACCGGCTTAGAACTTGTGATTGTCCAATAAAAAGCGACTAATAGTGACTAATAGTGTTTTTCCAAAAGTAGCTAAGGCTGCACAAATTTTCAATGCTCAAGTTCCAGGTCCAATATATGTTTTTGTAAAAAAGAACAAATTAGTACTAATTTTTTAATTTGTTCCACTGTAATTGAGTCTCAATTAGCCACCGTAATTACCCTCTGTCACATATTCTCAACACTACAAGCTACTGACTGACTATTCAAATAACAATAATTAAAATCCTTATTTTCAAAGTAAACAACTTCCAAAAATGAAACAATTTTCACAACAAAAAATCCCTGCACCCCAATCTGATGTGTGTCCTTACTGAAATACATTTAAAGGCAAAATAATTCTTTGGAATTATCCCCCTTAATAAACTTAGGCATTTGTAAAGCTGATCGCATATACTCGTATTTTCTATGTGACCTAAAAATTAATATTAAAATCTAGTTAACATCTTTAAATAAGAAAATAATGTAGAAATTTTTATTGGATTTTTCTTGTGCTACACATTGATCGCTAAAGGATATTTGGGCACTGATGGACAGTGGTTATAAGTAAAACAGTTTGTAAATCAATTTATTCTCTGACGGACGTGTGAATTCAGCACAAAATCGCCATTGAACGAACTGACAAATCACCAATTCAATTATAAACCCAATTGCCACAATGCCGATTCGCATTTCAATTGAAAACAAATATTTGACATGACAAAGGGAAATAGGCGCGATATCCTGGTAATTATCCTAATTGCACCCTTTGCCTTTGCCTTAAAGGATTGTCCCATTGACAAATTGTTTTACGGCTGGCTTGTCAATAGGAGATATGAACTTTTGTATTGTAATTACGGAGATTTGTTTCACATGAAATCTTAATCTTAGTGATATATAAATAATAGGAAGTAATATATTTAAATTTTTGTTTGTTCAATAAATAAAAAAATAAATATTCAAATCGAAACGGGTCAATAGTAAAATAATAAACAGAAAATTTGATTTATAATTTAGTGAATTTTTCAACTAACCATGGTAAACAATAGATCAAGCTGGTCGCCGTGCGGAAAGGCCTTAGCCTAACCCATAAACCATTACACTACCATTAACTAACCATGCAGATGTTTTAGCTACTAAAAGATAAAAAATTTTGTTAGTACTTATTGGATTTAATACTCCGTATTTAATTGTTAGATTACACGTATAGGACCTAGCACTTTAACCCAATAAAATTTGACATAGTCTCATGCGCTGCACACCTGACCCATCGCCGTATCAAAAAAAATTTTAATTTATTTAAAAATCAGTATAGGAATTATTGGAATTGTAGAAATTTAACCAACAAGCACTATTGGTTAAACTCATAAAACTGGAAACTTACTTTAATGAGATTTGCTGGTTTTGTTGGAACGAGCATTAGACATGAAAACAAATGCTGTGAATTAGTACGAGACTGTAACATAAATTAAAGAAATACCTAAGTGGGCACCTCATATCAGTTAAAGCTATAAATACCTTGTAATATAAATTTAATACTAAAATTTAAAAAGAAATTGAACTTAGAGAAATACCCTAGGTCCATGACGGCTACAATAGATCTTTAATTTTTAGGGCACATGCTCCCAACGTAATAATATTTTCAATAAAATCTTGTAAAGATTACACTATCTATTGTAACGAGCTCTTTAGCCAATTAACATATTTCATGAAAATAGTTGACAATAGCCTAGCGAAAAACGTAATTAAAGCAGTAGTTGGATAAAGAATTGATTGACAGTGTCTCCGGTGGAGTGATCAGGTTAACGGAGCTCTAACTCCACTTGTGATGTACGGGTCTGCAGAAGGCGCGCATGCAACAGGGGCGTATAAAAATAAGGAAACCCGATAACGTATGCAGCGTACATTTCTGTCGCCCTTACACGCCGAATTTAATATACGCTACCGAATATTATTAGAAATTATATTAAATAGAAATAGTTTGTAACTCACGCGACTAATAACTGCATATAAAATAAGTTTTAAGTTTTAAAACATATTTTAAAACATTTATATATTAGTAAGAGAATAGAATTCCATGTAAATTATTTAAAAAACTTCTTTTATAGAAATATTAATAATAATCTCTTAATTTTTTATATAATTTTGTAATTAATTTACAAAATTTAATTTTATAATTTAATTAATTATATGAAGGTTAAAGTAATTTCATTAGACATTTGAAACATTCCCTACATGTCAACAACTCATTTAGGCCACTAATTGCGAATAGATTGTTTTTAAACGTTTTTAGTAATTATGCCAATATCTTTTCATATCCAAATTTAACTTAACTTAGCTAATATTTAAGTTAATATATACAGATATATATACAGTTATGGCATATACGAACATATATACAGAAGTATAATTAGCAAATATATGAAAAGTTGTGGTATATACAGATATGTATACAGCTGTGATATACTCGAAAGGAATAAGTTCAATACTATTGCAACCTAATAATATAGATATATACGTGCCCCACTTAGACTTCCAAAAATACTTAAACGTACCAATTTTAAAATCTTTACCGAAATAAAATTGCATGAATAACTCAACAAATATCTCCAACTTCGAAGTTTAAAAAAAGCAAGGAGTTGCTATTTACAAGATTCTAGTGATCCATTAAGAGTCAGTAGCCAAAGTACAGACTGATTTACACGTAATTTTGCGCACACACACTCAAGCATGCATGGCGTAACATTCGTAAACAAAAGTTACAATAAATTTTAATGCAAAATGAAAAACATAAATTTTTAATTTTAAGAGAGAAACGATTAAAATAGTAAACAAACAAATGTGAAATATCACTGCAGGGGACGGGAAAGAGTATATGACCAAAAATAGAAATTTAAATACACAAACAAAAAAAAATTTGAATTAAACAAATACTTTAATGAAAATTGCCATAAAATAAGCGAAACAATTTATAATCAGAAGAAAAATATTTTAAAATTTATAAAATTATAAATAAAAAAATATTTTAGAAATAAGAAAATATAAAAAAAAATATAAAAAAATAATTTAAAAAAAATTTTAAAAAATTTAAAAAAAAAAATAATAAAATTAAAAAAAAAAATTATAACGAAAAACGATCAACATGAAAACAACATGAAACAAACATTAATTTTCTAATCCCCCACGACCTAAAAAAAATATCAAAAAAATATTTAAAAATATTGAGAGCAAAGAATGTTAAATGTTGATTTTCTGTTCCAACATTGGAGAGAACGCAGCTAACACAGCGTCAGCCTTGCCATATACGGCACTTTTGGATCCACAATTTGATCATGAAGGAACGGCATTAAACATTCTCATTGCCTCTGCCGTGCCGTGCCGTACCGTGCCGAGCCGTGCCGTGCCGCACACAGACAAAATCAAATTTTTTATTTATTCTGCGCTATGTTAAAACTATAAACATTATGCGACTGTCTCGCTCTAGTCTGTTGATTTTTCCAAATAATTTTGAAATGAAAATTTCTAAATCAACGAAAGACAGCTATTTTTAGTACCGACTACGCGAAACGGAAAATTGCTGAGGAGCAAAAATGTTGCTGCCGCTGTGCTATGTTCTGAGCAGGGCGACGCTAAAGGTGTGGGCGAGCACGGCGGTGTTAGTGTCGGTGGCGTTGGTGCTTCGGAATTTTGGATTTTGTAAGACTCCGAGTTGTGTTTTCTTGTGGACGTATAAAATCTACTGCACGTTGCTGGTATACTTTAGTCAGTCAGTTGTGTTCCAAAGCGTACAGGACACATTTGCCGTATTTCTTGAATTATTTTACTCGTGGTACCGTTAAAAAACACAAAACTTAAACAAAATGTGTGACGATGAGGTTGCTGCTTTGGTCGTTGATAATGGTGCGTTTATTGGATATATTGGATAAATATTTTCACTGGAATACACAATGGATTAACAAAAGTGTCAAGGATAAAGGACAATAGTCCTTTTAAGGGATTAAGTGTTTAAAAGTGAAAAGTGTTTATAGTTTCTTTTAACAAAATGGTGCTCAATTAAAATAAATTGTATATAATTATATATACAATTAATTAAATTTTTGAAATTAAATTAATAAATTTAAAAAAAAATATACACTTCCGTATAATTATATACGGAAGTGTACAGAATTTTTTAAAAATTTAAATGAAAATTTTTTCATTTATAATTAATTGAATACAATATTTAAAAAGAATTTAAAATTTAGAACATTAAAAAAAATTCTAAATAATTTTTTAAATTTCAAAATAATTTAAAAAATATTTTAATATAAATAATTTTTTTTAACAATATATACCAAAAATTAATAATTAATTATTAAAAAAAAATTTTTTTAATTATATATAAAAAAATTATAATATTCGTCACACATCACACGAATATAAAATTTATTTTATATATAATAAAATTAATTATTTTAAATAAATTGATTATTTAATTGCTACAAAATTTTAAAAACTAATTTGAGCACCTTTTGAAAAAGATCATAGAACATTTAGAAGGAAGAAAAAATTAATTTGAGCACCTTTTAAAAAAAATCATAGAACACTTAGAAGAGAGAAAAAAATGGTAGTTTAAAGCATAAAATTTTTCTAAACGAATTTTTCAAGAAAATCTTATCAAGAAAATATAAAATCAATTAATGAAAAATTTATAAGATTTATTTTCCAAATTGCTATTAGTTTAAAATCAAAATTTAAAATACAAAGGCTTCCCAGAAAAAAATTTAGAGTGATCATATATGACATATAAATATCTTGAAAAAATAATATAAATATGCTATTCATATATAAATACTTATATGTGTATACATATATATATTTATATTTGCATATATATATATAGATATGATCAATATTTCTCATACATTTTATTATTTAAAATGTCTTCTACAAAATAAATGATTTAATTACTAGAAAATTATGTCATGCAAACAAAAATAGATCACTATATTTTAGTTTTCCGACTACTGAAAAATATATACACTTGATCTCTATTTCACTTTTTACTTACGTTCCGCACTTTTGTTATTTTCATTGATAATGAAAATTACAGCCACGCGTTATTCAATTTTCCGTCATGTTATAATTTGATTTTTTTTCCTTTTATCTACAGGCTCCGGTATGTGCAAGGCCGGTTTCGCCGGTGATGACGCACCCCGTGCTGTCTTCCCCTCAATTGTAGGTCGCCCACGTCATCAAGGTGTCATGGTTGGTATGGGCCAAAAGGATTCCTATGTAGGTGATGAAGCCCAATCCAAGAGAGGTATCTTGACCCTCAAATACCCAATTGAACACGGTATCATCACCAACTGGGATGATATGGAAAAGATCTGGCATCACACCTTCTACAATGAATTGCGTGTTGCCCCAGAAGAGCACCCAGTCTTGCTCACTGAAGCCCCATTGAACCCAAAGGCTAACCGCGAGAAGATGACCCAAATCATGTTCGAAACCTTCAACTCACCAGCTATGTATGTTGCCATCCAAGCTGTACTCTCCTTGTACGCTTCCGGTCGTACCACTGGTATCGTTTTGGATTCTGGTGATGGTGTCTCACACACTGTACCAATCTATGAAGGTTATGCTTTGCCCCATGCCATCCTCCGTTTGGATTTGGCTGGTCGCGATTTGACCGACTACTTGATGAAGATCTTGACTGAACGTGGTTACTCATTCACCACCACTGCCGAACGTGAAATTGTTCGTGACATTAAGGAAAAATTGTGCTATGTTGCTTTGGACTTCGAACAAGAAATGGCCACCGCTGCCGCCTCCACCTCATTGGAGAAATCCTATGAACTTCCTGACGGTCAAGTTATCACCATTGGTAATGAACGTTTCCGTTGCCCAGAATCCCTCTTCCAACCTTCCTTCTTGGGTATGGAATCATGCGGTATCCATGAAACCGTCTACAACTCAATCATGAAGTGCGACGTAGATATCCGTAAGGACTTGTACGCCAACATTGTCATGTCTGGTGGTACCACCATGTACCCAGGTATTGCCGATCGTATGCAAAAGGAAATCACCGCCTTGGCTCCATCAACCATCAAGATCAAGATCATTGCCCCACCAGAACGTAAATACTCCGTATGGATCGGTGGTTCCATCTTGGCTTCCCTCTCCACCTTCCAACAGATGTGGATCTCAAAGGAAGAATACGACGAATCCGGCCCAGGCATTGTCCACCGCAAGTGCTTCTAAGCTATTTAATAATATTATACAACACACATGTACCTACTTTTGTAAATGTATTGGTGTTAATCAACATTATATACATTTGCAAGAGTATACATACGCCTTCAGAGATGCCCGCCCATTTGTTGTTTTGTTAATATCAATATGCCAGCAAGATCAATGGTTCCAGATTATTTTTTTACGACTGAACTTTCATCATAATCCCCTTAAACCAATTTTTCTTTTTGTAATGTTTAGTCACATACTTCAATGTTAAACTTTTTGTATATTATCGTAAAGAATGAAAATGAAAAAAAATAAAATAATAAATTATTATTTATAAGGGGTTTATTGCCACATGTAAAATAATCTAAAGATTTCTTATGTAATTTAAATTAAAACAATTTATAAATATTTATAATAAAAACAAATTTTTTAGATTTAATTTTTAAAATCAGTGTCGTTTGCGATACAGGTGAACTCCTCTCATTCCTCTCTTGATTAAAAGACAGAGCTGTCATAGGCAAAGGTCGTTAATAGTTTCTCTAATAATTTCAAATCTATAGATAATACATTTGCTTATATTTAAAAATATCATTATTGTCATAATAGTTTGCAGTATTGTTGTTAATAAAGTATATATTTCCATTCAATGTCAGTCTAAAAATATCGCCTATAATATGCGATACTATATGATCTATTTCGTGGAACTCATTGTCTCTTTCAATTTCATCCCAATCAATAGAGCATACTCCACATTCCTGAGAATATTGGTATAAATATTTGTCTAACGATACATATATATATCGATACATATATGTATAAGTATATATGTAGATACTAAATTCACAAAAATATCTTTTCCGTCAGTATGTATCCATTGTATCCATTGTATCCCTTCTATTCCAAACACAATCAATAAGAAGAATTTCTCTCGCCACTTGTTTCATAATATTTTTGTGGCGCAAGCTTCTAAATTTAAAAATTTTGTGCTTTGCATATAGAAATAATTGATAATTAAACAATATATCTGTTGTATATATAGAAAAATTGATATCCGATATCGTTAAATTTTGGAGCTTGCGTATAAATACTTTTTATATTTTTATTTTTAAAAAATTTTCAAACATAGAGAAAATTTTCCACTGTATACACCTCAACTATAAAAGGAGGTCACAATTGGTGTGGACATACAAGTAATGTTTTGAAATCGAAGAGCTGAATAGAAATTTTAAAATTTTGGAGATGCTAAATAATCTATGTATATTTTGTGCATAATATGTATATAGAATAAATTTGGAATGTGCGTATCTACATGAGAAGAACGGTCAAGGTATCTTGATCGTTGTTGTTCTCCAAATGTAGAGCAATCGTGGGATTTAGTTTGTACGCTTATGATTTGTAGATATTAAAATTTAATATATAATTTCAATATAATAATGGATATTTAACAGAAAATTAGGTTAATATTTTTGGAAGATAAAGTATGATATCATAAAAATAAAATTAGTAGATAATGTGATTCGATTGGATTTTATATTATTGTTTATTAAAATGTATTATGCAAAATTAAATAGGCTTTGATGAATTTAGTAATATAATGACATGTATATATGAAACAAAAATTCAAATATCAGTTTATAGAAACAACAACAAAAAAATTTAGAAAAAATTAAAAGTTTTAAGAGACTTAAGAAAATTTGAAAAAAGTTAATAGTTTTAATAGACTGGATTAATTGAAGTAATTAATTGAAATTGCTGGATTAGTGATTATGATTAATAAAATTTTAATATATCAGATAATTTTAATTTTATCAATTTTTAATTAAAATTAAAAACTTTAATGGCTAACAATAAGATTACATAGAAGTTTTTCTATTTGCACATATGATTACAGGCATAAATATTTGGGGCTGAACATAGATTTAATAACCAACTTCTATTTTTTATACGTCTATGGTTATATCAGTAAACTAATTCCAGAGAAAACATTATACTTCCGTATACTTGTATCTGCTTAACAACATTTTCTTAAAGCTTATCAACAAAATAAAAGTTCTTCGCAACATGAAAAGTTCAAAATAAGTTTAGCAACATTTTTATTAAACATTGCTATTACTGATATGTTATATCGATGAACATATTTATAGGTGGAAAACCCATACTGAGAAAATTGTGAATGCTTACAACTGGAAGACTTTGTAGTACTTGAAAACATTCAATTTTTATATTTAGTTTTTACTTCAACACATTTTTAAACCACCCTTGTTACCAACTCTTCCTTAATTTTATGCACTTATAATAGCCTTTTTTGGGAATATATATATTGAAATAAATATATCCTTTCTCATGATAAACTTTTACTAAAATTCTTGTTACGTAGCATCTTTAGAAATGTGATGAATTTTGTCGGAAAGGTTTAGCACTTGCTTTACCAATCAAGATCACTAACTTAAGTCACGTTTTAACCAGTGACCCGCTTTTCTTAACCGTTTTTTATACATATATATGTTTCTGGGAATTATAAAATAAAATAGAATATAAAACTTAGAATAAATATAAACAAAACATTTTTAAAATATTTATTTGGATTTAATTGAAAGATTTTGTAATATTTTTTTTAAAAAAAATCAAACTTTTTTTTAATATATATTATTTAAGTGCTCGTGCAAAGCACTTTTATAGCTCTTTTACTAATATTAACTATAAATATTAATACACCAATCTTAGTTAATTGTAAGCTATTTAATATAGTTGTATTTTAAATTGGTCCATGCGTGGATAATTATTTAACTGCACATGGTCTGGTATAATATATAGTGACACTCTATATAAGTGATTTGTATTGAATTGCAATTAATCTATTAATACTTATACAATTTAAACATTGTTTAAAAAATTTTTATAAAATAACACTTATAAATAATATATTTAATTACGTCATGAATTTTTCTTACATGTTTGAAAAAATACTGGGCAGACGAATCTTGCTGTTAGACGTCCAGGTTGACCTGGTCTACATTGAAAAAAAACGCACCATACCCAGCACTATGGTATCGGTACTGGCTACTGCATAATAGGGAAACATGCTATGAGTAAAAAATGTGCTCCATCTCATGTGTAGAGATGGGCACTCTAGCTAGGAGAAGATTTATAATCTTTGGAAGCCCTTTTCTTGCTGATCTGACCGAACTGTCATCCTGCAAAATTAGGAACTTAGACAAATTCAAAGAAATGTCAGGTTGGTCCAGCTTTACCTACTGTGAGGTTTCTTGATCTTAAATCTTTCACAAGGCTTCCACTCCACTGCAACCTAATCTAACCTATGCGAAGCTACATGGGGGAGTCATTGCCTTTCGGCGTTGGTCATATACTGATCTTTTGGTGTATATATATACTAATGCTATTGTACCGCAATGGATCATTATTCAATATCAAGTGAGCTTTCTTGATCTTAAAATTTTCACAAGGCCTTCACTCCACTCCAATCTAATCTAACCTATGCGAAGCTACTGTAATACATAATGTATTAATCTGATTTTTTACCCCAATTTTTACGAAAAAAACTAAATTCTTAATATAAACTATTGTTTTCAGTAGAGAGGTTTTTCCCAACACTTTCAAAATCTAACACATCACTCAATAAGTCATGTGACTGACACACAGATGGCGCTGCCATTGTCAAGTCCATATAGCATTTATGAAGTGCCAACCTTTAAAAGATTATATGTAAAATTTCATGACATTTTGATTAGTCAGAAAAAAAGTGATAGACATTTAAGGGATGCTACTTTTGTTATTTTCAAAACAATGAATTCAAAATAATTTCGTGTGTTAATTTATCATTGCTTCTTGATGAAAAAAAATACTGTACAAACTCAGCAATGGCTTCAAAAGTGTTATCCGGACTCTGCTCCATCGAAAGAACTATTTGTTATTGATTTGCTGAATTTAAATGTGGTCGTACAGACACCGATAATGGTAAACGTTCTGGTCGTCTAACTGAGGTCGTAACTCCAGAAAACATCAAAAAAGTCCAGAAATTGGTTATATCTGATCGTAAATTGAAATTGCTTGAGATAGCTGAGACCATAAAGATATCAGAAGGCAGTGTGTTTACAATTATGCATGAACATTTGACCGTGAGAAAGCTCTTTTCAAAGTGAGTGTAGCATTTACTCACAGTCGATCAAAAACAACAACGTGTTGATGATTCAGAGCAGTCTTTGGCCATGTTTACACGTAATAAATCAGATTTTTTGCGTCGATATGTGACAATGGATGAAACATGGATCCATCACTTGAGTCCGGAATCA